AGGATAGAAGGATGCATTTGGATTTTTGGGTTAATTTTTCAATATTTGAAATAGAAGAGATAAAAGTCTCATAACCAAAACCAAGCCAGGTTGGATACCTAAGTAGTTTTTCTTCTTTCCTTTCATAATGTAAAATGTGGCACTTAGTAGAGATGTTGGGTGGATAATATTGGGTGGTCTCTTGGTTACAGGGTCTACTTCCGACTGACCCCTTCACCTTCTCCTGTACGTTCTCATCCTTTCACAGTCCATGGCTTGTTCTTCTCATTTCCCAAGTTAGAAAGATGGGTGTTATCCTCCACTCTTCCTTGATGCTCAGCCCTCTCATCCAGGAATTTCCAGAGCTTGTCAGTTACATCGACTCCCTTCACTTCCATCCATCTGGCCTGTACTACCCTGGCTCAGGCCGTGGTTATTTCACCACTGAAGAATAGCAATAGCTTCCCCTGGCCTCCTCCTTCAATCATGTTCCTCTTTCTTCACACAATATCCAAATATTTCTTCTAGAAAGCAAAGCCAATTATATTGTTTCCTTAATGGAAGCCCTTCAATAGTTATCCATTATCCTTAGAGTGTACTTCTCACTCTTTAGCACAGCCTTCTCTGACCTGGCTCCTGTCAAGTTCTCCTAAGGTGCCTTATTCCTCTTGCCTCTTTGCTGAGGTTGGAAACACTTCCTTTTGCTTCCATTTGTCAGGCTGATTTCTATTGATCCTTTATGCCTGTTATGGGTTGAACTCTGTCCCTACCTAAATTCATATGTTGAAGTCCTAACCTGCAGTACCTCACAGTGTGACTGTATTTGAATATAGTGTCATTAAAGAGGTAATTAGGTTCACCTGAGGTCATTAGGGTGGTCTGTAGTTCAATATGACTGGTATCCTCATAAGAGGAGAAAATTAGGCCACAAAAGCATGGAGGGAATAGCATGTGAAGACACAGGGAGCAGATGGGAGGATGAGCCAGGGAGTGCGGCCTCAGCAGAAATAAACCCTGCCACACCTTGATCTCAAACATCTAGCCTCTAGAGTGAGAAAATAGATTTGTGTTGTTTAAGCCACCCAGTCCGGGGTACTTTGTAATGCAGATCTAGCAGATTAACACAAGGACTCAGCTGAGGTGTCTCTTCCCCGGGACACATCCTCCTACCCGCCGCATCCTTGTGCCTGTGCTGTATACTCCTGTTGCACATTGTCATTAGCGCTCTTACCACAATCTACTGGAATTCCTGGTTTGTTTTTTTGGAGTGTTCTTTTTGTTTTTGTTTTGGCTTGTACCTCTGTCTAAGCCATAAACTTCATAGGCAGGGACTATGTCTGTTTTGTTCACCATTGTATCCCCAGTGCCTAGCAGAGTGTCGCACACATTTCAGACATTCAATAGTTGAATGAATGAACACATTGGAGATAGTTAAAATCCTGGAGGTTAAACTAGTGTTAACCTCAAGTCTGCTAGGCCTAGAGATCCAGGGTAAAGTTTGGAGGCTTTCCCTGCAGAGTGAATGTCAGAGATCAGGATTAAAAGAATATTAATCAGTTACAGTGCTCAGCCCAAATCACAGAAACATCCCTCTTCTGCTACTGGGGTTACACAGCCCCCCCCAAACCAGAGGACAGAAGGGGCATGGCATCGTGGATTGATGCAAACCACTTTAAGACTCCAGGCTGGGCACGGTGGCTCATGGCTGTAATCCCAGCACTTTGGGAGGCGGAGGTGGGCAGATCACGAGGTCAAGAGATCGAGACCATCTTGGCCAACATGGTGAAACCCATCTCTACTAAAAATACAAAAAAATTAGCTGGACGTGGTGGCAGATATCTGTAGTCCCAGTTACTCAGGAGGCTGAGACAGGAGAATCACTTGAACCCAGGAGGCGGAGGTTGCAGTGAGCCGAGATTGCACCACTGCACTCCAGCCTGGCGACAGAGTGAGACTCCATCTCAAAAAATAAAAAATAAAAATAAAAAAGACTCCAAGTGGAGGTAAAGATAACTGAGTCAGACATAAGAAAAGTAAAGTAATTATAAGAGAAGTCAGGCCCAGATTTGGCAGTGACAGGGGAGCTCTTCTTACTCACATTCATAATTTTTCACTAGTGATGGCCTAAGACCAGTGCTGTTCCTACTTCTGATACCATTCCTCTACCTTATCTGACCTGCAAGCCTATGTGAGAAGGTGAGGCTGTCAGATTTCTCCTGAAACAAATGAGACACAGCAGAGCCTGGAGAGAGAGGGTGGGGCCAGCAGTTACAAAGTCTAGGACAGGTAGTTAGACCAGATTTACCCAACAGGTTCTTCATGACTCAACCAGCGAGCCAGGACATTCATCATCTATATGACATATCAAGGTTACTTCCTGGTTCTGTAGTCATTGGTGGGGAGACAGTACATTTGTAGTACAGTCTTCTCTTTGGATCAGTTATTAGTATACGTATGATTTGAAAAATGTTTTTATTAAGCACATTAATAGCTGAGAATTAAAAAAAATAAGAGAGTACATTTTCCATGGGACAGACAGGAAATTTAACTAGTATAAACAATGTCCTTGGTGAGCAAGAAAAGCCCAACCAGAGACTGAGATAATCTCAGGGAAAGTTTCTTTTCTTTATTATTCTCGTCATTGGAGATCCCTGCTCTTGTATTTTTAAAACCATTTTTTGAAGTACAGCATATACATAGTGTACAAATCATACTTCAATAAATGCTTTAGTTTTAAAAATAGTATTTCTCTGATTATAAAAATAGCACATGTGCATTGTAGAAATGTAACTGCCCAATGGGTTCGCCTTGTCCGCTGTCCAGACAGAGCCCTATCAAGACGGGGAATTGTAATGGAGAAAGAGTAATTCACGTAGAGTCGGCTGTGTGGGAGACCAGAGTTTCATTGTTACTCAAACCAGTCTCCCTGAGCATTTGGGGATCAGAGGTTGGTTTTTTTTTAGACGGAGTTTCGCTCTTATTGCCCAGGCTGGGGTGCAATGGCACGCTCTCGGCTCACCACAACTTCTGCCTCCCAGGTTCAAGCGATTCTCCTGCTTCAGCCTCCAGCATGTGCCACCATGCCCGGCTAATTTTTCTATTTTCAGTAGAGATGGGGTTTCTCCACGTTGATCAGGTTGGTCTCGAACTCCCGACCTCAGGTGATCCGCCCGCTTCGGCCTCCCAAAGTACTGGTATTACAGGCATGAGCCACCGCACCCTGCAATAAAGTTTCCCCAGGTGAGTCCTACACACATTAAACTTGGATAAGTATTGTCTTTTATTTATTTATTTATTTATTTATTTAGAGACGGAGTCTTGCTCGGTTGCCAGGCTGGAGTGCAGTGGCATGATATCCGCTCACTGCAACCTCTGCCTCCCGGATTCAAACAATTCTCCTGCCTCAGCCTCCTGAGTAGCTGGGACTACTGGCCCATGCCACCATGCTTGGCTAATTTTTGTATTTTTAGTAGAGACGGGGTTTCAACATGTTGGCCAGGATGGTCTTGATCTCTTGACCTTGTGATCTGCCTGTCTCGGCCTTCCAAAGTGCTGAGATTACATGTGTGAGCCACCGCGCCTGGCCAAGATCAGAGTTTTTAAAGATAATTTGGTGGGTAGAGGCTTGGGAAGTGGGGAGTGCTGATTGGTCAGGATGGAGACGGAATCATAGGGAGTTGAAGTGAATTTTTCTTGCCGTTTTCTGTTCCTGGGTGGGATGGCAGCACTGGTTGAGCCAGATTGCCGGTCTGGTTAGTCTCACCTGATCCATCGAGTGCAGGGTCTCCAAAATATCTCAAGCACTCATCTTAGGTTTTACAATAATGATATTATCCCTAGGAACAATTTGGGGAGGTTCAGACTCAGAGCCAGCAACTACATGACCCTTAAACTGTAATTTCTAATCTTGTAGTTACTTTGTTAGTCCTACACAGACAGACTGGCCCCCAGACAGGAGAAGGTCTTTTCAGAAAGAGCTATTATCAATTTTGTTTCAGAGTCAAACCATGAACTGAATTCTTTCCGAAAGTTAACTTGGCCTATGCTTAAGAATGAACAAGGACAACTTCAAGGTTAGAAGTGAGGTAGAGTCGGTTAGGTCTGATTTCTTTCACTGTCATAATTTTCTCAGTTATAATTTTGTAAAGGCAGTTTCAGAAATATTTGAACATATGAAAAGAAAATCATTATTACCAATAATCCCACTTATAATTTCACCACTGAGAGATATCTTTTAAAATTCTGGTGAGGAATTTTGCAACCTTTTTCTAAAGGCTATATTTAAGTATAGACATTATAAAATTGTGATTTTATCGTTCCTACTACCTTTATTATTTTTATTGTGAATATTATCACATATTCTTCCTCAATGTGACATTTAACAGCTGCATAAAATTTTGTCAAGTGATCTTACTCTACTATGGAAATATAGGGCCAGAGTAGAGAGAAGCACTTAGTCGAGGAAAATGGGGTTAGAAGTAGAAAGTGTATTTGCCAATTAATTTCAGTAGATGGGGTGATGATTATAGATATTAAATTGTGCAAGCAAGTCATCTAAGAACCTGTATAAGTACTGAAAAGTAAACATGTGGCTGGATAATATTTCAGGTATTTACCTGCATTTTTATTCTTCTTGAACTTCTCCCTGGCCTTTCCCCCATTAAAGCTAGTGGTCAGTCTGTCCTCATTGTCACAAGAGGGAGATGTTGCATGTTAGAAAGCAGAAGTCTGCAAGACTTTCTGCTTTCTGTTTGTAAGACATGAAATTCTAGAATGGAGAGAGTGTAGACAAGATGTCTGCTTGAAATGGAAGTAAAACTTGAGAATATTGTCCCAGTTAAGTGGAAGGAAATAAATGCACAGAGAACTCTGAGGCCTGGAGCAAAGGAGGGTGGTAGTAAAACTCCAATTTGAAGTAGCTTCCAGCTGTGTCCAGGCAGATGATTCCTCAGCTGTCCTAAAGGTGTTAAAAGTCCCCACTGACTTCATAATAGGAGAGATGCTGTGACCAAATGCTGCATGGTTCCTGGCTTACTGAGGGCACTCAATGTGCATCCCCCCAGGGCTTCTCCTCTTTAGCAAAGAAGCTCCCTAACCTTGAAAGACTTATTCATGGAGATGGGGCATTTTATAACCTGTCTCCTTCTAGAAGTAGCTTTAAGGCTGCCTGTCACCAGGTATGGGTCTAAAAGCAGCTAGCTTCTTTCTCTTCTCTACCATTTACAGGAATTTTTGCACAGACTGACCATAAGTGTAAATTTCCAACATTTTATTCTTGTAGCTATTAGAACCAGTTACGTGACCATCCAACTGATCAGATCTTGGTGGAAAGATGGGCGTTCTCACGGGTGAACAGGGGAGAAGAACGAATGCATGGATTCCTGTTTCGGCTCATACTTCAGATTCTGACCGTGTGGAAGAAAGGACGAACAGAAGGTCAAGTAGAGCTCTTACCTGGAACTCGCTGTTCCATGAAGTAAGTCTAAGTTAGCCATTCTCATTTACAGCAGACTTAGTGGAAAACTATTTTTTTTTTTCAGTAGAAAAGAGAAGTGAGGTTTTTTAGGGGCTTTCCAGTTGGGAATTTTCAAGTCTAAACAACCATAAGGCAGTGATTCTTAGACACATGAGGATAATTCTGGGATTCTGTGGTGAAGACAGGCAGGAAGAAGGACATGTAAAATTTGGAAACCCACATACATATTTGAAAGAACAAAGATAACTACTTTTCAAATAATATGAGCTGTATAAAAGATGTGACATCTTTTAAATTCTTGTTTAATGGGGATATAAGTAAATCAAGTTTGAGAAACTGCTTTAGGCTGTAGAAAAACGTGCAAGATAGTGTAAAATACATATAAACCTAGTGTTAGCTAAATAAGGAATCAATACCAGTTTAATCAACAAAGACACAAAGCTGGAGTTTAGAGAACATCTAGCCCAATGGTTCGCAAACTACAGCTCCGTGAGTCAAATCTAGTCTAGCTGCTTGTTTTGTTTTGTTTTAAATAGCCGTCAAACAATAGTTTTTATATTTTTAAGCGGTTGAAAAGAAATCGAAAGAGTTGTATTTCATAATGTGTGAAAACTATGTATAATTCAAATTTCAGTGGCCACCAATGAAGTTTTGTTGGAACACAGCCATGTATTGTTAATTGCTGCTTTCATGCTACAATGACAGTTGAGAAGTTGCAACAAACAGCATATGGCCTGCAAAGTTTTTTTCATTTAAAAATGTTCTTTTCAGAGACAGTCTCATTCTGTTGCCCAGGCTGGAGTGGAGTGGCACAATCATACCTCGCTGCAGGCTCCAACTCCTGGACTCAAGCAGGCCTGCCACCTCAGCTTGCTGAGTAGCTGGGATTACAGTGCCAGCCACTGCACCCTGCTGGCCTGCAAGGTTTTACCTGGTGCTTTATGGAAAACATTTGCTGACCTCTGAGCTAGCTCACAGTTCAGGCAAGGAAATTGAAGTCCTGAAAGTTTAACTGATTTGTTCCAGCTCAGATGACTACACAGTGGTAGGTTCTTAATATTATTAATGAAATCTCTTTACTGTCTATGTGTTTTTTGGTTATTGCTCCTATGTCAGCAGTTTTACTTTCCTTTTGAACCTTTTCTAGCTCCAAAGATATTTCCTAAGAGAATTTTCTAGAGTGTAACCACAAATATTTTTGGCAAACACAAGGTATGTTTTGCTTTGCTTCTAATGCACCTTTAAAGGATATTAAGCATTTAGCTGATCTTTCCAACTAAGGCACCTTGTAAACTGCCTGAGATGTCTTTATAAATTAGCTTCCAAGTCTGTTAGCATGCTGTTTATTACCATTTAAGAACTTTACATGCAATTAGGATGTATTGCCACCAAGTGGCCAATGGCACCTCTGTTATGCTTTCTCCACTGGGCTATCACAGAATTATCATAGTCTCACAGGATCTAGTGGTTGGAAGGAACCTTAACTCCAGCCGCTTAACAAGGAATCGTTGCTTAAAGAGATCATTATGCTGTCTGATCAAGTGTTAGAAACAGAAAGAGCTGTTTTTTCAAAGTTAAGCATACATTCTTACTTAGTTACTTTTAAAGCCAGATAGAAGCTCGCAAATACGATTTGGTGTTATCCTAAGACTTCAATTGTTATTAATCATTGATAAAACTAACCCTCTTGTCAGGCTATGTAGCAGCTTCCTAACTCAGTCTGTTATTTCCAGTTAAGTATCCCTCAGATGTGTCTTAAAACAATCTGACATAAAAGCCCTTGCAGCTTGATTATTTCTCTTTTTATTAAAAGAGAGATGGTGCTAACTTTGCTTATAACCTATCAGGACAGGAGCCTGCTCACCTCCACAGCCTTTTTCTTAACTTCATGTAATGGTGTGTTCATGTCTTTTGCCCATTTTTATATTGGGTTTTGGGGTATCGCCCATCATCTATGATAGATGTTGCAAATATTTTTCTCTTAGTGATTTGTCATTTAACTTTGCCTTGGTGCTCTTTTTTGTGATGTGACAATTTTTTATTTTTATGTAGTCAAATTTATCAATAAGTATTTTCTTTTACTGAATCTGGATTTGGAGTCACAGAAAGTTAATAATTCACTGTTGATTTCTTCTAGTATTTATATGGTTTAGCTTCTTCTTTTCTTTTTTTTTTTGAGGCAGAGTCTTGCTCTGTTGTCCAGGCCAGAGTGCAGCAGCGTGGTCTCCGCTCACTGCAACCTCCGCCTCCCGGGTTCAAGTGATTCTCCAGCCTCAGCCTCCTGAGTAGCTGGGACTACAGGCACGCGCCACCACGCCTGACTAATTTTTGTATTTGTGGTAGAGATGGGGTTTCAACATATTGGCCAGGCTGGTTTTGAACTCCTGACCTCGTGATCTGCCCGCCCCGGCCTCCCAAAGTGCTGGGATTACAGGCGTGAGCCACCGTGCCTGGCCAGCGTCATCTTTTATATTTAGATCTCTGATCTATTGTGAGGTTCTTCTTCTCCTTCTCCTTCTCCTTCTCCTTCTCCTTCTCCTTCTCCTTCTCCTTCTCCTTCTCCTTCTCCTTCTCCTCCTCCTCCTCCTTCTCCTCCTCCTCCTTCCTCCTCCTCCTCCTCCTTCTTCTTCTTCTTCTTCTTATTATTATTATTATTTTTGAGATGGGGTCTCTCTCTGTTGTCCAGGCTGGAGTGCAGTGGAGCAATGTCAGCTCACTGCAACCTCCGTCTCCCAGGCTCAAGCAATCCTCCCACTTCAGCCTCCCGAATAACTGGGAGTACAAGGTGTGTGCTATCACACCTGAGTAATTTTTGTATTTTTGTAGAGAGCGGGGGTCTCATTATGTTGCCCAGGCTGGTCTGGAACTCCCGAGCTAAAAAGATCAGTCCACCTTGGCCTCCCAAAGTGCTGGGATTACAGGCGTGAGTGACCAAGCCCAGTAGAATTTATTCTTATGTATAGTTTGAGGTGTGGATTCAATTTTATCTTTCTCAAAATGGCTGTCACGTTGTCTTCCCACCATGCATTAAATAGTCATATTTGCCCCAGTGATTTTTTTAGATGCCATATGATTTTTTTCTACCATATTTTAAATTTCTATTTATACTTAGGTTTAATTCTGGACTTTGAATTCATTTACACAGATCTGTCTATGTGTGTGCCAATATCAAACTTTCATTATGGAGCTTTTCATTTTATTTTTAATTTAATTTAATTAATTAATTTATTTTTGAGACAGTCTTGCTCTGTTGCCCAGACTGGAGTGCAATGGCACTCACTGCAACCTCCACCTCCTAGGTTCAAGCAATTCTCCTGCTTCAGCCTCCCGAGTAGCTGGGACTACAGGTGCCCCTCACTATGCCCAGCTAATTTTTTGTATTTTTAGTGGAGACAGGGTTTCACCATGTTGGCTAGGCTGGTCTCGAACTCCTGACCTCAGGTGATCCACCCGCCTCGGCCTCCCAAAGTGCTGGGATTACAGGTGTGAGCCCTCGCACCTGGCTGTAGATTTTAAAATGTGTTTTAATGTCTGGTAGTGCTACCTTTCCTTTATAGTTCTTCTTCTTTTTTTTTTTTTCCTACCCACCCGAACACTGTCCTTCTAGTTCTTTTTCAGTTTTTCTTTTTTTAAAGCTGTTCTTGCACTTATTTTTTCACATGAACTTTAGTATCAACTTATCTAGTTTCAAAAAATCTTCTGGGTATATTTAGTTGTGAATTGACTTGGGAAGAACAGACATCCTTTGGATGTGATCCTCTTCAAGAACATCTTTCCATTCATTCAAGTCTAGTTTTTGGTATTTTAGGAGTGTTTCAAAATTTTCTTCATACTGATTTTGCACATTTCTTGTTAAATTTATCCCTTAGAGTTCATTTTTTTTGTTGTTATTGTCAATAGGACTTTCTCCTCTATTTTATTTTCTGACTGGTTACTGTTAGTGTATCTAAAGGCTGTTGATTTCTGTTATGTTAGTTTTATATCCTGCTAACTTTAGAATTTTTTAATTGCTTGGTTAGTTTTACTTTGTTTCTGTAAGATTTTACAGATACATTATTATGTCATCTGTACATTTCTAGCTTTAGGACTGAGGTGTATATATTTTATTACATTAATACAAAAATACATTAATTCCTACATTCCTGAGTGCTTTTTTGACAGCAGAAATAGGCTTTGAGTTGTGTCAAAATTTTTTCAGCATTTATGGTGATCATCATACGGGTTTTCTACTTAGATCTATTAATATGGCGAATTACAGTAATTGATTTTCTAATAATGGACCATTTTTGTGTTCCTGGACTACATCCCATTGGACATGGTGTATTATTTTCTGAATGTGGCATTGGATCCTGTTTATTAATATTTTAGTTTAGGATTTTTACCTAAGGTACATACGTGATATTGTTCTGTCATTTTCTTTGTGTCACGTTTGTCAGATTTAGGAATCAGTGTTATGAATTTGGATGTTTTCTCTTCTCTAGAACAATTTATATTGGATTGAGATGATCTGGTCTTGGAAGATATGATAGAATTTTCCTTTGCAACTGATTGTGGTGCTTTTTTGTGAGTAGCTCATTGATCATTTCTTACATGGATATTGCTCTGTTTAAGATCTTTAAGTAAATTTTGATAAACTGTATTTTAGTAGGAATTTGTCCATTTAATCTAACTTTTCAAATATATTTGCATAAACATGTATGAAGTAGTCAGTTAAGATTTTAAAAAATATCTTCTCTGTTTCAACAGTTATTTTCCTTTTGTCATTTATTATTTTGTTTGATTTGTTGCTTTGTTGATTTTTCGGAGACCAAGGATTTTGATTAATTAGTTCTTTTTTGTTCTTTTTAAAAATGTTCTACCTCATTAATTTTGGCTTTTAGATTTATTAGTTCCTTTCTTATCTTTTCTTTTGGTTACTTTCATTCCCCCTAACTTTCTGAGTTGTGACTTCAATTCACCTATTTTCATTCTTTAACTTTTAGTTGCTGTAAGTGTTTAAG